CTCTTACAGACAAGTGTGGTGATTACTTCCTTAAAAATATGGGTGTCAGCCAAGTCTTGCAACAAGAACAGGGAGCAGAAGATACAAGCAAAAGAGCTGTTGGGCTGTAGGAATTGGTTTTTCCAAGTTTTGATCTTGGTAGTGCTGTAGGGTTCACATGTTTCTGATGTTTCTGCACATTTTTGAGGGCAGTTGTGCTGGGTGTTCCTTCTAGCATAAATGGCTGTGTGAAGCACAGGACTTTGAATTACGACTAGCCAAAGACTTTTATCACAAATATCCCTTTTGATTTCTGAGATGCATAAGAATGCATAATTTTGTATGTGCAGACATGCTTCTCTAAATTCTCTCAACTGGGAGTGTGTAAATATATCATCAAGGATCTACATCACCTCTGCTTCTCTGAAGTCATTGAAATAAATACAAGATTCTTCCCATGATAATGAATAGTACATATAACTAGAAAAGCATGTTTTTGTAAGTTTGCAAATGTTTTCAATTTGGTCCAGAGGAAAAAGAAATGTAGAGGGAAATAATTTTTATTTTGGCTCAGTGCAATGCTTTTCCATACAAAGGCTCTTTTTCCCTGATGTACAAATTCCTTTCTTGGTTTCATGCACCAGGTGGAAGGAACAATTGGTCTGAAAGTGCAGCTGTCACTTTCTGGGGTTTTTTTTATGTTAGTAAACTATTCACAAGGGGAGGCAGAAAACAATGATAGGATGATCAGAAAGTCAATACCTCAGATTCTGTAGTCAGCACAAATCATAAAATGCATATGTTAAACACAACTTTAACCTTGTAAGCAACTAATCCTTTCGCATAGCTAATAATACCATAATTTGCTATAATTAAAATCCTTCATGCATATTTGCTTTAGTTATACATCTGGGTATAAATGCTACAAGGCAAAATATATCACTCTGAAAAAGAGCAGACTTGTCCTTGATAAGTGATCTCACATTGTAATTGCCCTTGAGTAAACCATTCTACAATTCAGGTACAAGCTAAATCAATAAACACTTTAAATTGCTGGTGAGTTATATAGGTTATACTCATTTTCTAACCTTCTTGGAATGTGTAGTGGTGAACAGAAGTGTCTATTCTGCAGCCTTCTCAAAGACTGGCTACTGTTCCCTTTGGTTGTGGGAATTTGTAACTAACCCCTGCTAAAGCCAATGTAGTTTCTCAGTCCAACTGCTCTTCATCTCTGCTTCCAAGTGCAGTAGGAAATGCAATACTTCTACTGGGGGATAGGATCTTCCCCAAGACTCTGTGTTATCTGAGCTCCAGTAACCAGCAAGAAAGCTCAGTTGTCTAAACTTGTGGGTTTTTTAACCATTTTTGGCTCTTTCAAGACTAAGCCATTATCAGAGGGAAGTTGAATTTAGGGTCAAAACTGGCATAAGCCATTTAAATAAATTGCTTACCATTAAATATATTTAAATGCAGTTTGACCATCACTTTTTTCCCCCAGCATAGGTAAATCCTTGCACATTTACTATGCATGAGCACAGTTTTCAGAGAGATGAGAATACATGCAGACTAGCTGCCCTGGATATTTCCTTAATCTTTATTTTCCTTGGGTGGGAAATTAGGAGGATTTTAAAGTTGTGCTTAGAGTTGTTCAAATTTCAGTTCAATTCCTGAGCATCTTTTATATGGAATTCTTTACTTTCAAATTGTATATTAATATATGAAAATAATCACCAGAATAAAATGATGAAGTTTGGTATTTGGGGTATTTAGGAGAGTTTAAAGCCTGCAGTAATGTTTGCAGACTAGAAGTTGGACAGTATACATGTATTACTATGCTGCTAACATGGGAAATTTCTCCAGAGTGAATTTACATAACCACAGCATTGCTACAGTAGTGCTACAGACCAATTTTGATATGATTATCAATTGAGTGAAGATCCCAAAAGGCTGCAAAATGTAGAAAAATGTGTGACAGTCATGCTAAGAAAAATTACAGGTAGAGACAATTTCATGACGTTATGTACATCTCAGTTCTGATCTAGTAAAAATATGCTGAATACAGAGTGAAGGAAACTCTACCAGGAGAAATGGTGCCCAATATGTTGATCCATCCTGTTTGCTTTGCCTGTATTGTGAATTTCATGCATGTTCATGTAGAATAATTCTTGGAAAGGAACTTTTGATCTCACTAAATGTCTTGCTGAAGAATTTAGCTCTGTAGAATTTTCTTCCATTGAGCTGGCAATGAAATGCCATTCAAAGCAGATAGGGAGGGAGAAGGAAAAGTTAATGCATGGACACAGCTGTTCTATGTCAGTTACATATGCTCTGAGCAGGTTTAGTTCACACACTTCTTGATGCAGCTGAAGAAGTGCTTATGTCACTGGGAACCTGATAAAAACAAAAACTTGGGAATGAGGTTCCATTTAGTTCCATCCAGAAGACACACCAGGTGCTGCTGCTGCTGCTGGAGGCATCTGCTGAAGGAAAACTTCATGTCTGATTCAAGACAAGTCTGTCAGAAGTGAGCTGAGCATTTGTTGTCAGCATTTGCTTTTTCTATCTGCTTGTTAACATAGCTGCATTTTCAGCAGTCCAGAAAGATTTTCTCAACAACAAACACAAATTTGACTGAAACTTGAGAAGAACATTGCTCCTTAGCATTTGATTTGCATTCACTGTGTGGTAAATTTAGCTGTTTCTTCCTTCCCCATGTAATTTTCATTATGGTATAGTCAGAAAGTATTTTTTAATGAATTGGAAAGATTGGAGGAGGAGGAGATGATAGAAACATTTCTATTTGCATTTGGTTATGTTTTCTGTTATAAATTATGCTGTGATCTTTGAAAAATCTCTTGGCTACCTGTAATTCCCACAGAGTCTCTAAAAAGCAAAGGGTGAAGTTAGTGATGTTTCTTCATTGTACCAAATCATTTAAAGATGAAGCTGCTATGGAATCCACACATAGACATAATTGGGCTTTATGAGTATTTTAAGCACGTGCATTGTAAGGAACTTGGGTTCCCTCTTCTCATTTTGTGCCAGATGGAGTAAAACAACGATCCTTGTACTAGGTAGAACAGAATATTCTTACTGTGTTTTGTTTAAAAAGTATCCCTTTGAAACCCTTTTTTGGAAGAGTTTTGCAGGTATTCCTCTTTTGTATAAATATCCAGCAGATGGATTAAAAAAAGAGAAAGAGGAGGTTTACTGCAGGCAAGGTGCCTCCAGATAGTTATGGAAAGTTTATGAAGAATCCAAGACAGATTCTGGCCTTCCCTTGGATGAGGATTTAATATTCTAAGACTGAGGATGCATTAACAGTAGAGTCAGCTAAAGCTGAAAAGTGTATATAACTTTGTTTTGGAGTGAGATGTCCATATTGATTTCAAAATATAGAGTTAAGAACTCTTCTCCCTCAAAACAAAAGATAGATCTATCATTCTCTGATTGTACACCCAGTGCTTTCAGGTCAGCCAGATCCAGTAGCAGAAAGGACTCTGGGACTAGTGATATTCATTAATCTCAGATGGCAAAATACATAAACAAAAATCTGGTATTCAACTGCTCACATTCCTTGCCTACAATCAGAAAATAGGTTGTTTACATTTGATGCCTTTCAAATCATGAGGTTGTCCTTATTCTTTGTGTGTCTTGAATATTTAATTGCAACATGAAGGAGAAAAAGGAGACAGTAAATTGGATAAGACAGATTGGCTGGCAAGAGCTTCCATGCTGCAGGGGGGGAAAAATTGAAAATACAGGCTGAAAGTCAGGAAACCTTTTCTTTAATATTCCAGTTTTGGAAGACTGGATAAACCTCCCAGAGGTGGTGGCAGAAGTTCCAAGTTTTTGAGCCATTGTGAAAGTTAAAGGGCTCAAATAGTCTAAAGTGTACAGGAGGAAACATGAAGGCCTCAGCAGGAGAAGATGATAGAATATTAAGTAAAGTTTTTCTTCTTGAATGTCTAAATTTCATAGAAAATCAGACCAAAGGCAGCATAATGGACATAAATCGTGAAGAGTATCAGAACTGAAAAGGTTAAAGCTAGAAAAAGAATGGCTTGGTGTGCTAAATGTAAAGACTAAATTCTGTAGAACTGATGGGAGAAGTCAACTCTACACACAGAGGACAAGTCCATATTTGTGCAGTCTGTATTTGAACAGTTGTGGAGAGTTTAGTAACCTCCTTTTCAGAGCTGTCTGTTCTGTGTTACAGCTGGATAAATCCAGTAAGGGTTCTTTGCTGTAGACACAGAGCCTACTGAATGACAACTTGAAAAAGGAAAAAATAAGGAAAAATAAGGAAAAAGTTCCTCCTCCCAAACACACCTATCTGTGGAACTATTTTTCTGTGGGGTTAATCACAGGGTTTGTACAATCCTTCCTTGTGATATTAAATCTTTGGGGTTTGTTGCCTGTCCACTTTTTAGTGGATGAACATGACTTGTTTTTATACTTTGGATCATTATTTTCAGTATCACATTGTTCATGATGATTTGACTTGTTGTTTCATTTCCTGGGGACAGGTATCTATGCCAGCTGCAACTATTCAGAAATCTCCTTTTGCTCCTTTACTCATTGATGGGAACTGACAGTTGCATCTTTTCCCTAATGAGTCATTGATTCTGCACTGCCAAGAGTCTGCCAAAAAGATGCTGGGTTGTTTGGGTTTATTTATGATGAGTGCATCAAAACTTCAGAAGCAATAGATGCAAAGGGCCTGATTCTCTAGCTGCTGCCTGTGTAGAAACCAAGTAAAATACACCAGCACTGCTAATGTTGTGCAGTGTTTCAGTCTGATCATTTGCACACTTGGAAGCAGCACATCATTTTGATATATAAAACATCTCTTTATCTTTGCAGGGACAAATCAAGTTCTATAGGTGAACAGTGGGACACAGTCCGATTTGGAATCTATAAAGGGTGTTGGGAATAAATAAATTTGATGAACTAAGACTGTTTTCAGGTCCTTTGACTTAAGTTTTGAGATGACCTCATGCTTTTATTTTCTGTGTTAGACAGGGCTATGAAGAACTGGAAAGAGAGCTGAAAGAAGTCTTTAAGGAAAGGAGCAACATCCTTCGTCAGCTGTCGAAGACTTCCAAAGAACTTCAGGGAATTAAAGTAAACCTCCAGGTTAGGTTCTGTCTTGGTTTCTGTGCAATTACTTACCTCGATATTTTCTTATTGCTACTAATACTTACCAAAAATATATGTTTCTGGATTTTTATTTAATTATTAATATGTGAATAATTATTGTACCTTTGATCTTGCACTTAATATGAACCCAACGCTTTCATGGAAAATTTTATCTTAATGAGTTGAAGCCTTTGCCTACTCAATAAAATAAAGAAATTATGGAAATAGTGAGAGGAAAGGAAGGACAAAGAATAAGCTGTATTAGTGGAGTTGCCACACATTTGACCTGGCAGCTACTACAAAGGATGTCCTTTGCTGTGGCAGGTTGGATTTTGCTGCTGAGTTCCATATACTCAGCTGTTCAGTTTTCCTCCTTGACACTGACTGGATTTACTGCAGGGCATTGCTTTACAAATCCAGCTGACAAATTGGGCTAAAGGAGCCTGCAGTGAGTGCTGAGACATCTCTGCATTTAACTCGGGGTATCACAGGTAGCCTGAAAGGGCAATAGACACCTCTGAACTCAAATCAACTCCTCAGAGTAAAAAGTAGATTAAAAATCCTGTGCTGGATTTGAGGTGCTGAAATCATCAGATATTCAGCTAAGAGCACACCTGTATTTTCCCAAGAGAGTCTGTTGGTCTGGTGAAATCACTCAGACTCATTATCAGTTGAGATTTGTCTCTGTATTTCATACCTTTTCAAGAGACACTGTTTTTCTGACAATCCATTTTTGTCTTCATGTTGATATAAACCAGATGGGAAAAATAAAAGAAGCCTTTTTTCTGTTCACAGGTCAATACTAGTGCTGTGTATCAGTGCTGTGCTATATTATATTACTACATTATATTGTCTTATATTCCACACTTCCCTGGTTATAACTGATGTGAACTCTTTGATCTTTGGGTTTGTTTTGCTTCTTTGGTTTTAGTTTGGTTTGATTAGGGTTGGACTTGATGATCTTTGAGGTCTTTTCCAACCCAGTTTATTTAGACTGTATGATTTGGGGTTTTGGGGTGCTTTATCACTCTTTATAGGGTTTTTATTTTTAGAGGAATGTGCTTCTCCTTGTAACAAAGTTATTTTAGAATGGGGTTTCTTATGCAGCACAGTTGAAGGTAGTATTTGGCAAAATTACTCTGTGAGATATTTTAGACTCAGCACTGCAGAGATCCAGACATGGGCAAAGAGCTGTAATGTTACCTTCTGTGTATAGACATATTTCCCTTTATCATACAATTCTAATGCTTTTAGTTGTTCATCTGTTCCTAAATCTAGTTATTTTATTTGATTAGCTCTCATTTAGTATCTGAAAACCAACTGTGTACAGTTAGCTGTGCTTGAATTACAGTAAAAGACAAGTCAGGCTATTCTTCCATTTTTTCATGTGCTAATGTCTGTAATTCACCAGGAGCATTTTATGAAAGAGGACCAACTGAATCATTTCATAGATGAATAATTAAAAAGATCTCTTTGCTAATAGAGCTTTTGCTTTGCTATCAGTCTTTGAAAAATGATGAAGCATCAACCAAAAATGACATGCAGAAACTTCTGGAACTGGGCCAAAAGCAAAGGTAAGATTCCCACCTCCTTCCTTCTCTTTCCATTTCCTGACTTAAAACTGTCAGACTAGTAAATTCCATCTTTCCTTTTACTTCATGGGCAAACACTACTGTATTCCAGAGCCTGCTGATCATAACAGCAAAATAAAGGCAGGGAATGCTCTTTAGGGAAGTTTTTGAAACAGAAGTGTATGTAAATGCAGCTCTGCTGACTTGAAATTAGAATATCTTTTTTTAAATTCCTCTTGTGTAAATTTTTTGGTACTTCCCGAGTTTCCATTAAAACTTGATCACTTATTATGATGCCTCAAGTTTTATTCTTTCTGTGCATCATCAGCACTTTGAAATGATGGCATCTGCTTGTGCTGCTGGTGTGTTGGTTTCATGCTGCTCCATCACTTTTGCAATTAAATTTGCTCTGTACTAGTCTTGCCGAAATTGCTGAAAGTAATAGAGTTATCAGGCAATAAAAGAAAGATGATCCAGCAGCTGAGTTCTGTTCTTGTATAAACGAGATGGTTTCTATTCCAGTTTGGTTTTCCCTGGGCTAAATTATTTTCTGTGTGTAAACCCAGTTCTGTGTTGATCTTCTGTGGAAGTTTATCTATGCAAGCAACAGCCCTGAAAAATCTCTGTAGCTGTTTTGAAATATGTCACTCTACTATTTTGCCACAGCTCCAAGGTGTGTCATATGCTGTGGGTAGAAAATTCTTGCAATTTGGAGAAGTTTTCTGGCTACATCAGTAAAGCAAAGGGGTTTTTTCGTTCAAATAAAGCCCAATCCAGGTAATTATCCTGTTGTTTTTCCCTTGTATGCCAGAAGTTTCTGCTGGATTTTGTGTTGCTTGTCTCTAGAACGTGCTAGGTGAAGGCTGAATTTTAGCAGAGCATGATTGATTTCTTTATTATTTTAAAGCAGGTATAAACTAGTTCTTATTGATACTAGTTTGGCTCCACGTCAGTGCATTTCCAGTAGCTCACTCTCCTCACTTTTTTGGTGCCAATCCTTTTTGCTAGAAATTATACACTGGCAGATGTTTAGCACAGCAGGCTATTCAGTAGACAGAAACAGTGGCCAATTTCCATCAAGCTAATTTTTGTCTTGCATTGGCATTATAGTTCATGGGGTAATTAGCATTTTATTAGCAAGACTCCTAGGCAAAGTACATCTGTCTGCTCTGCTGAATAATTAAAGGTGCCTTTTCTTGAATCTGAAGAATTATTTCTTAATGGACACTTGTGTTGAAGTTTGTGTTCTGTGTTTTCAACAAACTAGGGAAGAAATGAAATCTCTCCAGGAAGCCTTTCAAAAGCAGCTTAATGAGGCAGCTGAGAAAGCAGAGAAGCAGCAGGCTACCGTGAGTGATTCCCTGTCCTTTTTTCACTATTTTTGGGTTTTTTGCTTAATCTTGCCTTGAGAATTTATTCTTAACTCAAATACCATTGCATGGAAAAAAAACCTAAAGGATTTCACGTATGTATTAGTACTCTGCAAACTTCAGAAGAAAGGAGCTGAAAAAAGTTTGTATGTTCAAAAGCACTAAGATCTTCCCTAATTTCTGTGGGATTCAGGGATGTGTAGACACTGTTGGAGATTTGAGCCTGGAGACATGGGCCTAAGTGCTTTCCCTGGTGAGATTATCTTTATGGACTCTCATGTCCCATCTCTACTAATGTACATTGCTGTACATCCATTGACCTTTAAGGAATCAGTTTGGATTTTCAGCAATAAAACAGAGAGTACATTGTGTGTTTTGACCAGAGTAGAACTAATCATCACTATAGGAAGTTAAATCCCATTAAGATTTCATGCTTTATTGAAATTCAGTTTCTGGATAATTTCTACAATTGTTTTGATTTTTCTGTAGCTCTGGAATGTCGTGGAACATAAATAGTCACATTTTGCTATTGCAGGAAAAAAAGTAGAATCATGTTTACTAAGATGTAAAAAGGCAATTTTTCCTGTGTTGGTTAGTAATATTCTTCTATCATGGACACCACTGAGCATAAATTGATGAGAAGCTCTGGAGGTTCCTTAAAACCTTAAGTGTTCTATAATTTGGAGTTGAAAACAAACCACCAGAAGAGCTTATAGATCTATTTTTTTTTTCATGTTGGTGGACTACAGATTTATTTACTAAGATTTTACTCAGTAAAATCTGTCTTACTGTCTCTGTGAACCTGAAAGGTTCAGAAAACAAGTGTTCCTCCAAGACAGAGGGTACAAAATAATTATGAAATTCAGCCTTATTTAGTATGAATGTGATTTGTATGTGGCTTTATGCCCTTGGTGAGCAAAACGTGAGAGTGCATGTTTTATGTTCTGCCTTTAATTAGAGACAGCACAGACTTGTGGCTAAACAATTCCTATTGCAGGTTTCTTTCAATTAATGTCATTTTTGAAAACACATTTTTTCCCTTTGTTGCTCAAATGCCTGAAGGGTAAAATAATATGTTTTATAGGTATATGTACCTATATATATACACACACCCATAAATATTTTATAGACTTGTGTATGTATATAAACATATATATATATATATACACACCTATACCTATATATATAGGAGTATAATAAATAGCTTTACCTATTCTTGTGCCCCTGACAATATATAATTAGAGGATTTTTGGTACTTGTAATTTTGTCTAGAGAAATGAACCCAACTCTTTAATTCTTGAGGGGAGAAAAGAAGTAATCTGAAAGCTGTATGGAGTTTAAAAAGGATTTGGGGGTCTTTCTCAATAGTCAGGGCAGCATATATCCAGGAAAATAAAATCTGTACTTGTTTATATAGAGACAATATAGGGCTGAAATAAGAAAAAATGAGCATCTAGTTGTCTCTGATAAGTACTCAGAACATGATGCTTGAAAGTTGTGTTTTTTTCAGGTGCCTGAAGACATCCCCACTGACTTTATCAGCACAAATATCATCCTACAAATTAATGATGGAAAACATATTTCATTATTTTATCTCTGTGTTAGATTTTGATATTCAAGACTAATTCAGCTGTGAGTTACATAAATCTCAGACACAGTGAATGGATCATTTGCTTTTTTGTGATATGTGCTTTTTTTTAAATTTGAGCAGCATTAACTTGTGTAAATGCAGTCTCTACCCTAGTATTGGGAAGAGCACAAGGTTTGTCAAACAAAATCTACCATCAACTGTGAGTAAAATGTCTCCTAGTGCAGAAACCAGGAAAAAGTCCTCTGAGTTTAAACCAGAACTTGGTTTGGAGTGTTGGGATGTGGTTATAGAAATGAAATTCTTGAGCTCTATTCCAGTACTTGCCCCAGTGTCCTTGGTTTGTGACATTGGCTGTTTCATGCCTCAGGGTACAATGTACACAATAAAGCTCAACAATACACTGAGACTGAATTGAATATTCAAAAAGTACTTCAGGATCCTCAGCTGAAAACTGCAATAGAAATGGAAATAGATTTTATTCCTGACACACAAGGTTGTTTTATACCTGGTTTCTCCACGTGTTTCATGTTTTTCTGAAAGCAATGTGAAATCTTTGGAAGGAGGTCTAGGTGCTTGGAGGCTGGAGTAGCTGGAGGATGGGAGCTTGAATTTAATTCTAATTTAATGAATTGTGAGACTTGTTTCTAATCCAATTTAAGCACGTTTTATTCGACAGGATTTGGTGAAGTAAATCTTGATTTTCATCAGAGTAAATAAGAGTAGAATTACCTTTCTCAAAGACAAATGAATAAAACACTGGTGGGAGGGGGAAGGGAGGAGATACATATTTTTTCTCTGCACTTCTCAAGGAGGCACAGTGTAGTGCTTACTGTGTGGATGTTAATTGGCTGTATCTTCTCTGCACTTGTCAAAGAGGCACAGTGTAGTGTTTACTGTGTGGATGTTAATTGGCTGTATATATTCAGCAGGGAACACCTGCCTGAAGGTGTTCTTTATTAGGTAAATGTAAAAGTCTAAGAATTTACGAGAATTAAGTCAAATTACATGAAAAATAACCTGGAAATTATTCAAGGATTCTGACCAAAAGAACAAAGGAGAAACCACATTAATGCAGGAGACTTTGCATTCAAAAAGTTGCTGTTCAGAGAATTTAAGGGTTGGAATGGAACTTAGAGATCATCTAGTCCCAACCCCTGCCCTGGGCAGGGACACCAACTCACTAGATCAGGTTGCTCAAGGCAAGGGATTTTTCAGTGATTTTGAATAAATATAATAAGAAATGATTCTGTATCTCTGCACTAGTTTAACAGGCCTTGTGGAGAAGAGCTCTTCACTTGGCTATGCTTCATTCTAACTGCTTGCATGTTAAATAGTTATATTTTTAGCAAGTTTGCAAAGTTATTTCCCGTTAACTGCAGTTAAAGTTTATAAAAAGAACTGGATAACTCTGGATAAGGGAGAAAATAAAGAATGAAACATGGGAACACTCAAAAATTGGCTGAGTAAGTGTAGTCTACCTTTTATATTTTGTTCCTGGTGGTATTTTATATCATGCTAGCAACTTAAAAAAAAACTATGCTGATGAAATAGTTTGACAATACCATTACAGTACTGTCAAAATAAAGGAGAAAATCTGTCTCTGTAAATTAATTTTTCCCAGTTGCTCAGTGTTCACTACAAAAAAATGAGAATTAAGTGACACATTAGGTATGACTTGTAAAAAGAAACCATATACAATATAGTTATTTTGAAATCAGTAGGTTTTTTTAGTAACAAACTGAATGTGAGGGATTTAATTCAGTGTTGTCCACCACCAGACAAGAATCTAAAGAACCTACACAAACTCATGACTTTGACTAAAAATATCAGATGTTCTTTTTCACTCCAGAAATATTTATTTTGTTTAGTAGAAGCTTTTATGACTGTTCTTTAAGTCCTAAATGCTTCTTGGACCAAAATGTCTTTTACTAATCAAGCTGCAACTTGCGGCTTACAAGTTACATTCATCTAAGAAATACTAATAATTAAAAACCTATTTAGCTTTGCATTTAAAAGAATTTAACACTTTGTAGAACACTTTTTTTCCCAAAGGAAGGAATATTTTCTATGTTTTATGTAACTGCCTAACCAGTTCTCTCTCTGTTTGAAGTCAATTTTTACCCTGTAACTTGAAAACTAGACCAAAAAAAAAAAATTAATGCTGAGTACGTTAGTGTTTCCAGATGTTGCCATACTAATAACTTGAAAACTAGACCCAAAAAAAAAATTAATGCTGAGTATGTTAGTGTTTCCAGATGTTGCCATACTAGACAGGTGTTAATGAATGGATTCCAATCACACCTTAATTGCTTGTCTTAGGCCTGAACTCTGGAGTTAAGAGAATAAGCTTTGGCTGTGCAGTAATGATGTTATGTTGGGATTCTTCCATCCTTCATCTGTAGTGAATAACTAACTATTGTCTGACTCTTAGAATTCTATCACTGCCATCTGCTAAAGCATTCTGTATTTCGATGGGGGAAAATTTAATTTGAGCACTTCAAGGTCACCAACTGCTGTGAGTAAAGGCCACTGGATGGAAGCTGTTGCCTTTAATAAACATAATGAGCTCTGAAACACACAGAGCTCTGAGTATCTTGGATGGCTGTCTCCAGGATACAGCAGCAGTGTCCTTGCTTCTTACTGAAAAGTTCAGCCTTAGAACAATATATTTTCATTATGGATTTTCATAATTACAGCTAGATGAAGTAGTTAAAGGCAGCCAACATGTGGAAAGAGGTGAATGTCAAACGAGAACAAAGCATGGGTAGAAGGAAGGAAGAGATGTAGAAAGTTTCTTCATCCAATTATTTAGTTTTTGTCCCTCTTAGTTTAGAGCTGGGTCTAACTGCTTTTGTTTATTATGCTATCAGGATTTGGTGGTGATTGAAAGTAGAATTTGTACATCTCTTTTGGGAAATGGTGTTATGCCTTGTCCTTAGGACTAACTAAAAGCATCATGAAAATGGTGCAATTCAGACTGATCTGCCTTAAGGCAGGAAATTCCACACACAGATGCACTTAAATGGGTAGATGAGGTTGTCTCTCTATTGGCTCCAATAGACAAGTCATATAAATCCCCCCCATGTAACTCTCCATAGCTGTACTTTATGACTAAGTCATTCCTCAATTGTTAGAGATTTAGTAGAAGACCATTAAAAATGCTGTTATAATATGAAAGTAAAAATTCATGACTTCTTAATTAACATCGCTATCATTTTTTAAAAGGAAAGTGATGTCAAATATTTTTTAATTATTCAGATAAGCTAAACCAGGATGTTTGCACCTTTTAAGATGTTCAGTCAGTGATACAAGATGCATATGTAAGTCAAGAGTAAATAACAAAACTGATTTAACTAACAGATTACTGGTTAAACAAGCAACCCAGTACTGGGTTGTCTTAAATTCTTCCCTGGAAGATCTGAGCTGTGCAGAGATAATAATTTTGGTATCACATCTCTTTAATTATTTCATATATATTCATAGTTAGCAGTGAAATGCTTTGAAGGAATATTAATATTCTCCTGAGAGTTAGCTCTAAGAAAGGGAACTTTCTTTATTGGAGGTCAGTATACTATTTTTGTCAGTGGTTTTTTTCAGTACTTCATGGTAGCTGACAATTTTTTCAAACAGCTGACAAAACAAAACAAAACTACCCATGCAAAGAGCTATTTTATGTTTCTCTGTATTTATCTTGATCTCATGCTTTGAGTGTGACTTTCATTTTTTTGTGGTGAAAAAAAATCTTCATATCCATTATCTCGTAAACATGGACTAAATTTCAGTATTTGTGGAGGTCATTGCTAGGCAGTTGCTGAATATGTTCATCCTCTGATAAAGCATCTCCCTCAACAGTAGCTGGAGTTAGTATTTATTTCCACAAGCAGAGCACTTAGTCAAAGCTTAGGAAGAGTTTGCAAAACAAGTTGCATTTTTGCATGTCAAGTGACACTAGTGTCATGGACCTGTCTGAAGTGATGATAACATTCTCTGACTTCTCTTTTGATACAAGTGAGAGTGATGTGAAGTTTTTCAAATTACCAACGTTGTCTACTTGAGTGTGGAGATCATTCTAAGAACAGCTGTTGAATCATAGAGATTCCGAGTCATTTTTTTTAATCTACATGACATCCAAATCGTTTATCTTTGGATTAATGTCTCTAAAATCTAAATGTGTTTTCTTACAGGGGTTTTGCTTTGCTTAAGGCTGCTGCAGTGTCAGAACAGCTGTAGTTTCCCTTGAATTTGGGTAGAGTTTGTACCAATGGGGGATAGAACACAGCATAGGGCACTGGGTAAATAGGGATGAGTATTTTGCTAATTGAGATGTCCAAGAGCATCTTCCTTCAAAGTGACAGGAATGTCTTCTTTTAATCCTATTGTTACAATCACATCCTCCTTTCTCCCGTTGTATTCCATAAACTGTGAGGAAAGCTCAGTCCTAAGAGAAACTGATTTGCAAAAAAACCAATCTTTTAAACTTTGTTGAATTAAATTTGATCTTAAACCTAAGACTGGAATTTCTACTTTCCAAGGCATGTCATTGGCTTAAGTAAGAACTGAAGACCATATTTGAATGCTTTCTCTTGTAATGCACTTTATTTCACAAGATTCTGACATAAATAACTGTTAGAAACCTTATATGCTAGATGTGTTCTTAGAGGGTAAAAAAAATTGTCACAAAATCAGTTAATACTTGTTGTAGAAATCCTTAGTTCTCCTAGGATCACATTTAATTTCCTTGTGATAAATAAACACTGTGTCTACTGATGCAAAAGCAAATAAGCCTCTTTATGCATAGCAATTTTCTTCTCTTGATTATAAGTTCTCTACTAAATATGCTAAATGTTTGTAGATTTAGCAGTTACCTAACTCTGGTCTATACCAATTTGGTATATAAGCAAAATTTTTTGTTTTGCTGCTTTCTTTTTTTTTTTTTTTATTCCCAAATCTGTGAATCATAAAGATATAATTAGTGGCTCCAACTGATGTTTGGGTACATCTCCACAACTCACACTCAACATCTGTTTTATCTTGTAGATTAACTTTTTGAAGACTGAAATGGAAAGGAAGAGCAAAATGATCCGAGACCTCCAGAACGAGGTAAGAGGAACATTTGATTCTCATCTCCATTCAGACTTTACAGTGAAAGAGATTATGGTCTGGCTTCATGTTTAAAATATGTTGTTGTAGTAGACAAAGCATCAGTGAAATACTTTAAACAAAAAAGCAAACCAAAATGACTTTATGTGTGTAGAAACAGCATTTTATTGACTGCAACTGTTGATTCCTTACTACTGGTGCTTATGTTGATAGTACATATCTAACTTTTACTGCCTTTTCAGAAGGGAAACTTAATTCAGTTCTGTAGATTACTGATACACAGTGAAACTTTATTCACGTTGTTATTACCTGCTTTAAAAATAAACAGCAAGAGGAGGAGAAAGGAAATACAATCTCAGAACTGAGATTCTTAATAAAATTTTTTTACAGACCCACATTCCTGAAATGTTTTCTTAAGCTTTGTACGCCATGAGTATTAATGAATGTTGTATTTAATTTTTATTGATGTTAAACTGAATTTATTTTGAAATTTGGTCTTGGGATAGAAACAAAACCTTTGAGCAGCATCATATTTCTTTTCCTCCTCGTGTTCTTCTCCCCAAAGAGTTTGCCTAAATCAGGATATAGTTTCCCTTTCCTTTGCTTCATTTTGGCAATATCTTTGCACTTGTAAATATTTTATTCAGATAATCTCTTAGGCTTCTTGTATTTATCTGTTTTCTTCAATTCTTATATTTAACTTTTCCAAACTATTCTGAATTTTATGTGTATGAAAACTCGATCTCCTTCAAGTTCTTATTTAAACAACAATCTCTGATGTCTTTGGTCTGTGGTGTGTATGTATGCAGTGAATCTGAAAAGTGTGCACATTAGTTTTTAGGTCACAAAGCAAAGGTCTCTTCCAGATGTTCAGTTATTTAAACCATGTTCTCAATTGTCTTCACCTGCTTTGCTTTCTTCTCCCACCTGTGAGCATTGGATGCTTTGCCATTGAGCCTCTTAGCTCTACTAAATCATATCAGTCTGATCCTATTGACCAGCCATAAAAAAAAATCTTGGTTTTTTTGCACATAAATAAATAGTTCATTAGTAAGCATTCAAACTGTCTGACTGTTAATGCTTTGCCTGGGTAGGTCAGGAGACTTCTGTAATATTTACTGTGTTTATAGCTTGTTTTAGAAAATTTGCTTTGAATGGAAGTTTTGACATCAAAAGTATTTGTTTCTCAATTTAAAGATCATCCAGCATCTGCAGTCACTGGTTTGGGAAGTTAGAAGTTGAATCCCTCTCTGTTCCCTGCAGTGTGTTTTTATGAACCTGCTGTCCATGAATTTCTCTAAATCTGTTTTTGATACTGGATACCTCCACAACTTCTTACACTCCCAAATTCCTTCTCACTTCACAGTTTGTTTAGCTTTAATATTTTTTAATGTCCTTTCCCATTCTCCTCCCCTGAGCAAGTTTTTCTAAATTCTGAGTAGTTCCCTGTGTAGCCATCTTAGCTTTATAGAGTCAATCAAGGTTTTATGAGCTGCTAATGCAGCATTTTTTTAACAGCTTCTAGGCAGTTTGTATGGGGTTTGGTCATTTGTTTCTTTCAGAATTTGTTACTGTTTGCCTTATTGATGCATCTCTCTTATGTATTTATATATCCTCTCTTAATTATCTCTCTCTCTCTTAGAAGAATGTTTAGCTTTAATATTTTTTTTATGTCCTTTCCCATTCTCCTCCCCTGAGCAAGTTTTTCTAAATTCTGAGTAGTTCCCTGTGTAGCCATCTTAGCTTTATAGAGTCAATCAAGGTTTTATGAGCTGCTAATGCAGCATTTTTTTAACAGCTTCTAGGCAGTTTGTATGGGGTTTGGTCATTTGTTTCTTTCAGAATTTGTTACTGTTTGCCTTATTGATGCATCTCTCTTATGTATTTATATATCCTCTCTTAATTATCTCTCTCTCTTAGAAGACTGAGTATCTCTGTGATGGGTTTATGTGTGTTTTGCTGTTCTACCACAGTAGTACCTCTTAGTGCACTTCATTAGCAGTTGCAAACACGTTAGTTCCTCTTGAACTCAGCCTGAAGAAACCCTTGAGGAAAAAAAAACAGAATAAATTTTTTTCCTGGGGGCTCCAGGGCTGGCTGAAGTCATTTATTGTGTAGCTTCTTCCAGTCACATTACACATACCTGGTGCTAAATGAAGCTTCAGTTTGGTTGGGGTCCTGCACTATTTGAAGAATGAAAACCATTAAGATTTCTCTTTAATATCTTGCAAAAATCCTTAGAGAAGGGAGAAACACAGAAGGAAAACGGATAAAACTAGATAAAAATCAACTTTTTAATATAACAATATAAAAGTATAGAATTTTACGTATAAGTAAAATTGTAAACTGCATGGTGACATTTATAGGATCATAAATATTTTAAAAGTCCTTTTGATAAGTATTTCCTGCCATGCCTGGATGGGATTTTTGTCTGAATTTTTAGAGAAGTACTTTGACTACAAAACAGCAGAGAATATGGTTAGGAGTTTTGTGAGTCACTTAGGGAACTGTTTCTAGAGTCCTGTGTAAATATTATTTGGGATTAAAGCTTCTCAAAATAAAACAGCATAATGAAAAATTAGAATTGATCTTAGAGATTAAAATATAATACTGATTCAGATGGGAAGTAGAACACATCAAGCAAATAAAACAAATTTCCAGTGTCCTGAGACCTTCAGTGATGTGTGTTCTAGTCTAGCTCATCTGCTTCTCTTTCTTCCTCCATATATCCAAGTTACCTGGATTTAACTATCATTCCCATGTTCCTGGAATTACTCTAAAAAAATTTGGTCTGTTACTCATCTCCTTTTGGTAATGAAATCGAAAAAAAAATGTGGGAAAATTTTACTTAGAGTGTATAGACATTAATTCACTATTTCCTCAGTGAAAAATGTGGCTTTTTTTCTTCTCAAAGTGGAACTCCAGAACCTTCCACTACTTTCTACAAATGTTTCAAATTTGATATGGGAATAAAAGGATTAAATCTACCAAAAGGAGCATAATAACATAGACATAGCTAAGGGAAAGTGTCTTAATACCATATGCAGCAAAGAGGAAATGAGGTGTAATAAAAAAAAAAATATAACAAGGATTTAGTCTTCTAGATTTTCAGTATCTCATGTGGAGTGATAATGACCTATTTCTTCCTCACCACCCTCTGCACCTGCCAAAACACACACCCCCAAAAAAAACCAGGAGATTTGCACAGCTGTATAGTTAAAATCTGCAATTACATGTAGGCAAAAAAAAAAAAAAAAAAAAGGCAGGAAAAAGTTTAATGCAAGTAGTTAAGGGGGTTCACCTTCAGGGAAAAAAAAAAAAAAAAAAAAGGCAGGAAAAAGTTTGATGCAAGTAGTTAAGGGTGTTCACCTTCAGGTGATTGTATCTGCCATTCTTCATTACTACCCTGTCCAACACATTCACGTGAATAAGTACTGGAAAGGTCTGCACAAGTGATCTGCTATTTTGGGGTGGGTTTTTTTCCTAATTTAAGCAAATTACCTGAAATATTTCCATTTTTTAAATGATTTCAACTTGCAAGATATTCAAGAGTTGTAGGTAAAGGTTGTGGGCACTGTTTATTCTGCACCTATTTTAGGAGGAAAAAGAGCAGTATTTGTGTTTAAAGAAGTATATATGTCCTGGAAATCAGAAGTTCCAGCATTTGGTTCTTGGCTCAGTCAACTAAACTTGCTTTGAGAGAAATTTAATTTGAGAGCATTGCTTAGTCCTTTGCATCAGCTCCTGTGTGGAAAAGGGACCAAAATCTATACTTACCTAATGACTTTCTATTAAGCTTCTATACCATGTTTGCTAGTTCCTAAAAGTAAGCACTAATAAAAACTATCCTGAAATTTGACTGAATTTAGATGATACAGTTTTGAGGAAATCTTTTGTTGCCTAGGTCCTGTTTCCAATCCCTGAATGCAATTGCTTTGAAAAATCTGGTTTTTAAGACTGGCTATGCTATGTATTCAAATAACTGACAGCATTTTACATGTATTTTTTGCAAGTGTTATCTGCATACAGATATCTAGAGACACACAATGCAAGTGGAATTCCCTTCCTAGCGACTCTTGTCCTTTGAAATATTGCATTCACCCTCAGTTTACGTTGCCAAATTGTGAATTTTGCAATCTCAGGCTCTTCCATGAGTGTAAAAATCATTCCCTGTTCAGTTCTGTTCTTTCAGCACATGCCCTAATGCCATTCAACTTTGCCTCTTGGAGATATGAATAGACAGCAAGAGCCTCCCAGCTGAATGCAGCAGCTGTGATGTGTGTGAGGACAGGACACTGCACAGAAAGGCAATTTTCAGGCTATTCAAGGCTTTGGGAAAAAACAGTTAATAACAAAAATAGTCTGTGGTAGGGAAGGGGAAATAAAAGCCAGATAGAGAGTATAGGGATTGTGCATCTACAAATCCTGCAAGAGCAGAAAATATTTATCAGCCTTCCAGCACTAACATTGTGTGGATTGTGTTAATAAAGGATTGGCAGGTCAACAGATATGGTCTTATTTGGAGAAATTCTATTATTGACAAAGAAGCCAAGAGGTTTGGAAATGCAGAAATGCTGGTGGAGCTGAGAAGCTTGGTGAGAATGTAGAGTAAAATGAATATGTATTCAAAAAATGAAAGTTTTCACTTTTAGAGATGGTCTGTTGCAGTGTGAGCACTTTACTTGGGGCATGTCAGATCTGTGGGAAATGATGCCAAAAGTGCTCTAAAAATGAAGCTAAAGCAGGAGGCTCTGTTAACCCTTCTTTATGGCAGAAAAATCTTGACAATTCCCATTGGGCATTCAGACCTGACTATTTTGGTGCAACTCTGAATGTGCATGTACATGTTGGATTCATTTCTTACATTAATGCCTTTGCTATATTGAACTGTGTGGTCGTTTTCTTAGTTTGTTATTCATTTCCTACTGATGCATCTATAAAAATCACCTGTTCTGTGCTGAATGGTAGAGAATCTTTATTCAGCTTTGACCCTTGGACAC